TATTATTTTTTGTTATTTGTCATTAATTCTTATTATTTATTATTTTAACTGATGTTATTAATGCAAGCATATGGCGTTTGCGCCCTGCTTGGCTGGTTTTCAATAAATAAATAAATAAACTCGATGAAAAATCGTGTTAAAAAAATTTTTACAGTTAATCAATCATTCATAGTTGAATAAATAGTTTTGTTTTAAGTTTTGTTTTAATTTTTATTTACCATTATTAGTTAGGCTCACTCTATCCGAGTTGTTGGACTAGACGAAGATGACACAGAGTGTTTTGGCCGCAGAAATACAGGTAAGCCGCTTGGATAACCCAGATTTTTGAAAGACGAGTTTACTCCTACCTGGAATAGAATCTTAAAATCGACAATTTGAGCAACAACCCACTGAGCCATTCTACTCTCCTTTGTTTTTCTCCATTAGGAGACACTGCCACCCAACGAAGACCACTGAATCACTGATGCATCAGTTGAACAATTATAATATAGTGATATAACGGTCAAATCGATTCCGTAATTATATAATAGCAAATAATTAATAATTGATATTTGATAAAAAATAAGAAATATTAATTGATTAATAGCAAACAATAAATGCATTCAAATAATGAAATTACAAAATAAACTGAAGAATATTTAAATAAATAAAAAATTTAAAAAATAATTTTCAAACTGAAACCACTCATTTTCTCGTCATCTAAATCCCTTAGGCCGCTCCTACAATTCAAAAATCTATCCTGGTCATATCCTTCTATGGTCTATGCTTGGACCTCCTCGCTTTTGATGCAGCCTATTATAGAAATTTACAAGATATATGTCAATTCGTGTAATGTACAACGAATAAACACAGTAGATCAGGCGGCATTTGTGACGATATTGTTGATAATGATGGTACTGGAGCGAAAATAGAATCATGAGGAATTCTTTTTGCTGGTCCGATGTTCATATTAGGCCTCATTCCTCTCGTTAGCCGAAGCATCACCGTAATATAGGTAATTAAGAAGGGCTTTCGATAAGCAAGCGATATCGGCATAAAATTTCAGTAAAATATGGGTACTTGTCTCCTAACATAAGTTTCTTGCTATTCATAAGCTTCTTGATATTAGACGAATCCATGAGCAAACAAAGATCGGTTAGTGTTTATCCAATTTTTTAACTGGGTTGCAGCAGGTCTTTCAATTCAAGAACCAATTTGCGTTATTTTTACTATTATTACCATTCCAGGTTTCGCATATTCATTGAATGTACCACCAGAATTAAAGTAACCAAGTGCAATTGAAGGCCTTTTGGCAGTTGTTTAATCTTTTGCCATATTTCAGTTGCAAGTTTGCAAATTTACAACGTCACAAATATAAAATTCCATACTTCGACAGAAATAACCTCAATATTATTGAAAGAAACCATTGTCTTTATTATGACCAACTGATCAGTTTAACTGAAAGGTGAAAGCTATATCCACAGAAATCTGGGTTTCCCGAAGATGCCCTTAAACCCTTACCTCCCATCAAAGGTCTCGAATTTGAAGGTGATAAGAACCTCAGATATGCGGCTCCTAGGGGTAGAATAGATCTTTCTACAGGATTCCAGAAGCTCTGCATCAAATATTGCAAAACCAAGATAATTTGACGATGATTACGATAGATTATCAGAACAAACCTTACACCCGAGACAAGAGAACTTGGAATTGATATTAGGATAGCGCACCTTATAAGAAAGAAAATTAAACTATGGCAGAACACTCTTATATTAAATAAAGGACTAATGAATGCTTTAACTTTGTGAAAAGGAAGCAACCCTCACAACTTGATCAACTTTTCGCCACGTACCAAGCATAAGAAGAATTTGAAGAAAAATGAGAAAAAGAACGGGAAATGTAAGCCAACATCGGGGAAAGAAAAGAAGTGTTGATATTTCTATGGTTTATAGTTTTCTCTCAAGGTGCTACTTTCATAAAAAAGATTCATTCTCTTTCACATCCCCTATGGGTAAAATGGGTTTTGCCATATTCTCTATGGGTAGAATCTTTTGCATTCCTAGGAATTCAAGAGTTTTGTGCATATCATAGTTCTTAACAATGCACTTTTCTGGATAAAGATCTAACATTGTTTCAGGAAGCTGCTGGGGCTAATTCTAATTTAGGAACCATAACTCCTAATGCTCCTACTATTATAGAGATCATTTTAGCCTTCATCTTCTTCTTCAGCTCTTCTTTCAGCCACTGGTGTCTCCTGATATTCCTATCTGTTGGTACTATTAGGTGTGCCACCATTGTTTTCTGGTTCTTCTCTGTTATCATATCTGGTACCAAATACAATTTTCAACTGAATAAAATACTTCTCTTTTTCCACGCTTATGTTCAATGTTACAGTTTATATGAATGTGATTAGAATTAGAACAATTTATACTGATAATCAGAAACTTTTTAGAAACTTTTTTTTCATTATTATTCATGTAAAAAATTCGCTTTCGATTTTACAAAAACTAAAACTAAATCCGGTCTGCCCCAAGGTACTTTGTTCTGACTTTTTGTGATATCCTTTTGGCATTTGAAATTCATTCTTACGTTAACAACTTCTTTGGTACTCTCCAAACTAACTTTCTCCATTGAATTTCGCTGCACACTTTTACCTTAAATCAACTTCCTTTAAACTTCAACTTCTTTTTACCAAAAAAATTTTTTCGAGACCATAAACATTTACCATTTTCCATACATTTCCACACTTCTGAAATACTCTTAAATGCCTTTCATTCATTAATGAATAGTATTTCTTTGTTGGAATCAGATAGTAAAACCTCTTTAAAACATAACAGTACTGCTTCTCACACCTTTATTACTTTGGCTGCGGCTAGGGTATTTTAATATATAATTGGAACGCTTGAAAAATGATATTCAATCCTTGCTGTTGAATTCGTTAAAACTTCCTAAAAATCCATCATAGTGCCCAGGAAATCTCGGTCCATGTCAGCTAAACCTCTTTACCTCTACCAGCTGCAATCACTTAATACCCTCTTGCTTCATTTCCTCCTCCGACATTCCTCTTTAAACTTCGTTCATTTTTGCGTCACAGCCGTATTTACAAATTAAAAAATTATAAAGGATTGCATAAGGATTGATGGTACTTCTTTACTAAACCAATAACATTTCCTAAAAACCTGTAATACCATTTAAATTTGCATTTGACCTCATAGTATTTCTTTAGCATCCTCTTCACACCCCCATCATGTTCCTTCTTTTCTATTCCTTTTCCGCTAAAAATCGGCAAAAGCCAACTGGTTTTACCCATTGACACCTTTGCAAATTCTATCCCCTTCAACCACCCATGCCACCTTATCTCCCAATGCTTGTTATATTTTCAAAACTCTCTTGCTGTATACAACTTTGCTATACCGTCGTAATGTTCAACAAAACCCGTCATATTCCATCAATGCTCCATCTAAGCTAGCTGCACTTATTTTTACCTTGGTGACAGAAGTCAAACAGAAATAGTCACCAGCAACAGCGTCAACCGCTTACTCAAATATAGATTCACCAGCGCTCCGACATAAGAGCGACAATTCACTCAGCCACCTTATTCCCCTCCTTTAAGAATTTTACAAACAAGGAAAGTCAAGGGAGCTACTGACTTCTTACTTTTACTAACATTGTACACTGGTTAAATTTAATAATATTAGATATCCAGTGAATTGGTACCATAGAATTTCGTTTTATTATAGAAACCGTCAAAAATCTGAAAATTACTATTTGGCTGAGGCTGGCGAAGGCTGTGATTTGGAAATTATCGGACAGTTTCATAAAAATGTTTATGTTTTTATTTATTGTGTAGGTTTTTGTTAGGGGTGCTCAGGGCCATTATTGATTCTGGCTTGTCGGACTAGGCAGATATGCTTATTTGTCCCTTACAGGTCTGGTGAATTGTTCCCGGATTGTATTAAAGCCTGGCGATGGTGGAAATAAATTGTGGAAAATAATTTTATTTTATTAAATATTTCTATTGTATTTAAATATTTTAAAAAATTTTATTTCATTAGGCTGAATTGCGTCCATCCTACTAAACACTTTTGTGATGAATGAAAAGCTCGTCTAATGGAGATCTGAGCTTGGTATGGCGAATTGGAGGTATAGGCCGGCCAGCAGTACGAAGGCTGGCAGCCTAACCAGTTGTCGTATGAATGGCAAGAAAAAAAATTAACAGGGATTCTTTATAAGGGCGATGCGTTCTTTAAAGTTCCCAATATCAAAACTAGTTGAAGGCCACTCTTTTCTCTACGCCATTAAGCTTTTCACCTGGATTTTAAGGGCTTTTTATGGATAGGATTCAATCAGTTCACTCAAATATAGAAAAATTTACAGGGAAATTCACAAATTTATTTTTGCTGACTTTGAATTTGGAACTTTAGTAATTTTAGCTGTTTAATACTTTTTAATTTTAGGTATTTTTAACCCTAATTAGTTTAGTAATATTGGCAGTATAATAGAATATTTTTTTAAGAGCGGTGAACTCTTAGGGATATCGCGGGGTGTTTTATCCTTCCAAGATCTTACCTAATCATTATTAACTTTCATGTGACGTTCTTTTCTTTTGATCGCATTCATCGAAAGGTTTCAGCGATAGCTAGATATTTTTTGATATGAAAAAATTTCCGACTATGCAGCCTGGGATTTCATCTCTTCCCTGGTTGTTAATTGTGAGAGCACAGCCAAAATGTCATTTAAAAGTTATCAAAATTGGGTTTTTTTTAAGATTTTTTGTTTTTCATTCTTCATTTTTCATATTTATCTTTACAATTCATTTTGTCAAAAATTATTCCGAATATTTTTTTTATCAATGAGTGATATTAGAATAATGATAAATTGTATCGAATCTGCAAAAAATTGTATCGAATTTAATTTTATGAGTAATTATTTTGGATATTTAGATTGTGATTGATGGAAGGATAAGCGAAATTGATCGAATGCCGAATTGATAAGGGAAATCTCCAAGTGCTATTTTAAAATTAATGACTTCTTTGGTTTTATCGAAGCTCTATCGACATGCTTTGTATAATTTTTATTTCCCTTCGTTGATTGGCCAAAAAGAAATTTATTTTTTATCCACATCAAAAAGGAGATTTTCGAAAGTATCGGTGAATAATGATAACATAGATAACTTAAATAATAATGAATCAGAGACTATTTCAAAAGAACAGATACTTGATGTCGAAAAGTTGGATGGTATTAGCGATTCTGACTTGCAATTATTTATAAATAATCTTCTTCAGCAAGATGAAAATCGTTCAAACGAAAATTCAAATGAAAATACAAAAGAAAATTTAAAAAATGGTGGAGAAAAAGATTCCAAAATATCGGAAAGGAAGACCGTGAGAACCGTCAATGATAAGATATTGAAAAAGAATATTGTTAGGATTTTCAATGACAAAAAATCGGGAAAGAATGTTGTTGGAATTATCGGTGATAAGGCATTGAAAAAAAATATTGTTGGATCATTCAATGATAAAATATCGGAAACAAGTGTCGTTAAAACCATCAGTGATAAGGCATCGAAAAAGAATATTGTTGGATCATTCAATCATAAAGTACCGGAAACAAGTATCATTAAAGCCATCAGTGATAAGGCATCGAAAAAGAATATTACTGAGGCCTCGTGTGATAATATATCAGAAGAAATTAGAAATGAACATCTCGATTTATTTATTAACAAGCAAACTGATTCAGTTAAGAATGAAATGCAGCATTTTACTTCGAAACAGAATAATGAGAAAGGCAATTTGAGTAAATTTTTAAATATCGCGATGAACACAAAATCGCTCGAAATTCTACAAAAGGTTTTTTATTTAACTTTTTTTCATCAGAGTTTTTTATTAATATTAATATAATTAATATTAATATAATATTAATTATTAATATAAATAATTGATAATTTCCAGTTTATTTGCTTCTTCATAAAATCGAAATGACAGGTGAAAACACTTTATATTTTTATTCCTTCCTCAGCAACTCTTTGAGTAAATTTTCTGAAATTCTGCAACTGAAAAACTTACTCTTTACTCTTAATGTCCTGCATAATCTCTCTAATATTCCTTATAATTTAGATGTATTACCGTTGATTCTTAATTATTTTTGAACTATTTTAAACCCAGCTGTAATCATGAACAGCTCGTTATCTTCCCATAACACCACTTCGTTCAATTTAGATTCCCTTAAACTCTTTTTGGACTTAATTTTGTTCCATATTTATGCATTTTTTTGTGGTGGTATGTTTTATATTTCTCATCATAATTTAATATCATATGAAATTCCATCATCCTATGGTTTTCTTATTCTATCAATGTCCCAGCGAATCGTGCAAAAATATTTTGATTTATATTTTCTTTATGAAAATTTTTTTTTGAAGAAATATTTTATGCTTGCTTTGATTTTTTTTACCCCTTATATTTTTTATAATTTATTTTTTATTTTGTTAATTTTCCTGTTTGATTTTGCATATAAAATTTTTAAATTGTTAACTTTTATCCGCAGTGAGATAAAAGATTGAGCTATGGTGAAGGAGGCGATAATACCGAAGTCGTATAACATGAATTGGTGGCTGCTAAGAAGGGGGGATATGGGAGCAGCAATAAGTTTTTAAAGAATATAATGAGATTTGAGAATGGAATTATTCTCTGCAAAATGAATTTTTCACTAATCAGTTAGCAAAATTCTTTATCAAAAATTTGTAATAATTTAAATCAATAGTAATTATAAATTATTTCAGATTTTAATAAAAGAAAAGCAACATTTAAATGCAGAAATATGTTCGTTAAGTTTAGAACGTCTTGCAGCCCTCGCTTTTCTGCAAAATCGTACGTCTGAATGCAAAATTTGGTTCGAAATGTAAGTTTTAATTTTCAATTTTTTTTTAGTCCTCATTTTTTGTTTCTTAGAAGAAGGAAAAAGATGAATTCAAATAATAATTCAAATAATAATTTCACCAATTCACTTCTCAAATGCAAATTAATTTTCGCAAATTTCAGATCTAATATCATATTTTTATATTATATATTGTTATATTTTAATCAAATAAAATTGATAAAGTTTAAGACTTTAGTTTTTAAATTTTAGGAATCTTATGGAACATTTCGATAAAATTTATTCGACTGAAGATGTAAATCTGAAATTCATAATAATTGCTGTTAATTCACTTGTTAACATCGGTTTACACGAGACTCATCTATGTAAGCATTTGCTTAAATTGATCGACGAGAGATATAATTCTTCATTTTCGTCAGTTCCAATCGCTATTCGTATAAAATTTCTCAAATTAGTGAAGGCGGATAAAGCATTTATTGATATATCTAAGAATTTGAGTGCTACCATAGAACGTTCGGTTTTTCTTCAAATGAAGTGAGTGATCACATTTTATCAATTTTAATTTTTTAATTTTTAATCGATTAGTGACGATTAATAAAAAAAATTTATTAAAAAAATGATTTTTTTAGTGAAATAAAGAATGCATCATCTCTGTTGACTCTTTTATTGAACGTTCCTCTGACCGATTTGCAATTAAAAGGTGTTCTTGAACGTTCGAAACAATTTTTATCAAAAATGTCATGCGGCGAATTAATATCAATATTAAGCAATTTATCAGAACGAAAACTGTGGCATGTCGATATTATTCCACTAATTGTTGCTGCTTTGCAATTAAATACCTCTACATTAACGGTTTTCTGATTTTTTTAATATTTTTTATTTTCTATTGAATATGAATAAAGAAAAAATTGCAAGAAATCAATTTTCTTTAGTTATTTGATTTTACTGACTTATATCCTCAGTTGACCGAACATCATTTAAGTGCCTCGCAATATTAGTTTAATGAGCCAAGTGCTTTTAGTAAAATCATGTATAATTTAATTTTTTATAACTTATAATTCTTTTTCTTCTGACAGCTCTCACCATTATTGGTTAGGCTGGCTCCAACGGCTACAAGGGCAAGGTTTTCAAGCGGCGCGGTCTGTTGATATCGTCGACAGTAATGGAAGCCATTCCTTTTTCCATCGTCTAAGTCCACATATTGCTGGTCCACTTATACGTTCACAATCTTTTCTCACCGTATCAGTCCAGGTCCTGATTGACCCAACTCGCTTTTGACGCTAACCATCACATGGTTTAGCAAAAAACGAAATTTGCGTCAATTCCTGTAGTGGACGACAAAAAATGTGTCCTAACCAGCAAAGGTGGCGCTCTGTGATAACATTATTTATGCAAGTGTTATTTGAACGAAGATGGATGCGATCATGTGATATCTTATCCGCTCGACGGATCCATATTATATACCTTAGACAAGAGTGGTCAAAGACAGGTAATTTTTTAATATCCTCCACTCTCATTGGCCATTTCTCAGAACCATATAGCAAGATTGAACGGATCATGGCAATATAGATCCGGACTTTTGTTTTTATGGTGATTTCACGACGATTCCATAAAGGTTTCGTCTTGCATATAAAACGCTTTCGTTTTATTTACATTGATCCTGAGTCCGATTCTTGCTGAGTTTCTGACACGTTATTTAATATTACTTGCATTTCTTTATAACATTATAACTGTCAGCAAAAATGACTACATCATGAGCATATTCAAGATCTGTGATACGATGCTCTGGGCTAATTTGGAAACCTCTGTATCGACAAGCGGTATCCATTATCCAGTCTATCGCATAGTTGAATATTGTGGGGGAAATGACGCAGCTCTGATGAAAAGATGGGCAAAATTCTTTTTAAACCATATGTTGCATTTCTTATATTTTCATCAAAGTACCCCCGTCATGCCTTTGTCATTTGTAATTTTTAACTGTAAGCGCTGTGAGGTGAAGTTTTAAAGGATCATTAGGAAAATAAAACACGTATTGCAGGATTGCGATTGAATGTGAGTGGATTCGTACAACTAAGATAATTAATTATTCATTAATATTAATTAACTTTGCTATTTATTCAATAATATCGATTATTTTTATTTTCATGTCCTCAAAAATCTTGTGAATATTTACTTAACGAGATGAAAAATTCAAATTTTGCTTTTTTTTTAGAGAACATATATTCAAATATATTATAAATATTGAAAATTCAAAAAATAGAGCTAGAGGATGCATTGATGCATCTATTTTCATATCGCTAAGCTGCTTTTAAAAAAATTTTAGGGAATGGGGGTTTCTTTAGGAGGATATTGCTGATGGGTTAATGTAGAAGGAAACACTGGAACAGGGTTAAAGAACAAAAATGTACGGAGAGTGCGGATATATAAAGGCGTATTTTAATAGAAGTTGGATTGGATATTTTTTATAAAATTTATTTTTGAGTACTCACCATTGTTGTTTTGTCTCGTTCCGTTGTCTTGTCAGATCAGGCAATTTTCTTTCATCGAGGGAATCAGAAGTCACTTAGCGATAGAAGTGCAGATAAATCGCCAGCATCACTCAGATTCTTTTTTTTTCTAAGAGCGGTCGTCATTATCTCTATTTTAGTGGTTTTTAGAAAGCAAATTATTTAGATTATAAAGAAGCCTCTAAATGTTTTAATGAGCCAAATCTAAAGGACATGAATTACTAATTTTTTTTGGCTTCCTTAAATTCATTTTTTGGGGTGATTTAAGTTCATTCTTATATAAAAAATAATTAAAATTGAATTTGGTGTAGTTGTTTTTTTTTTTTTTTAAATTGCATTTATACTTATTATCAAACAAATTGCATCTATTTCAGGCCAATCAAATTTCTAATTTATCTCATGCGGTTGTTGCTTTGAATTATTTCGATAATCGTTTATTACATCGCATTGCTACGGATATAACAAAAAAAATTTGCAATGTAACTAGCTGGAGTACTGTTTCAAATATTTTAGCATCTTTTTGCAAATTTCGTTTCATTGATGAAGCTGCTGTAAATGTGCTCGTTGATTGGATTAATACAAAATATGAGTATGTTAATATCTTAAAGAAATTAACCCATCTTTGATTCTATTCATATATGACTCTCTGGCGATAAGATTAAAATCATTATAGCCGGTGAATTCAGAATGTTGCGCGATGTTTAAAAAAGGATATTGATAAGGATATTATCATAATGATAATATCGCTTTATTTATTCATATTAAAGGTTTGTTAATTAATTTTATTTTTTTAGGCTTGCAACTGATACTGAACTTTCTTTTGCTTTAACCGCGGCGGTAAACTATGGCATTGGTGATCGCATATTGAACGCACTTCAATTTTCAGCAAAAATAGCATCAATTGAATCGGCAAAATCGCCTTCGATTTGGTTGAATCGTATTCATGCATTAGCTATGGGTAAAGCACTCACTTCAAGATTAGCTGAAACGGTGCTACGTATGGATTTTGTCTCACATTTACTCCAAGAGTGAATTCTAATTTATTTACATTTGTCTTTCTTCATATATTCTTCATATATCGAGGATTAATTGTTTATAAACGCATTTTAGAACTAATCCGCCAAAAAAGCTGTTATTGCTAACAAAGTTAGCTCAAATTCAATGTAGTGCGCTTTGTGAATTAAGTGATTTTCGAGGTCAAACGCTAGAGTTATTTGATATGCTGAAATTATATGGCAAGGTTAATCGGAATTTTTGTTTCACATTCCAGGCTCCAGGTCTGCACAACATGTGACTTGCGAATGTTTTGTGAAAATGAAGATTAGCAATAAATTTTTTTTCCAAAAATGTAATTTGTATATGAATTGTAAGTTATGTTATTTATGTTATGGTAGGCTCCCATTAATGGTTAGTATACAAGATTCTTAATACTGAGGCTTAATATACTATACTGATACTGATTCTAATTTATCAAGATATTTTTCCCATATTTTTTTTAAAGCTCCTCTACCCTCTTCTTTTCGAAATACGAGCCGCTATAATTTAAAAAATGATCCTTCCACACTTAGCGAGTTGTGCAGTCTTGTCTTTTTTTAATTTATATGTGCAATGTGGAAGATTAGGGATATGATAGAGGCTAACAATGAAATATTTCAAGAAATAGAACTGATCAAATGTTTCGTTTAGGAAGTTGCTCTGGAAATGAAATATGGTCGAAAAAAGATCTATGATGCTCAATGTTTCCATGATTTACTGTATAAATTAGCTCCATTAGATACACATGCATTTGCACCAGCAGTAAATGAAGATGGAATTTTTATCGATGCAATCCTCAAAATGGATATGAATGAACGTTTTGTTCCAATTAATAAATTTTCTGATATTCCAGAGCCACCAATAGCAATCGTTTATTTAGCTAACAAACATTTAATGGTTTGTTTGCTTAAATATTTTTAGAAAAAAAAATTTTTTTGCATTTCTTTGAATCTGCCGAATATTTTTTGAAATGTTTGTTTGAAATACCACGGTAAATGAATGAGACTTTGGCTGAGGGAAATTGTTATTCGATTTCTCCCTCTTCTAAAGAACATCCTTAAATATTTCTTCCTCCAAACGAATCTCGTAATAATTAGCGAAGCTAGTCAAATCAGGAAGGATGCGCAATGTTGTTAATTTACTATTTTGCAGTTCGAGAAATTTGCAATTCCCAGACCCTTATTTACGTTTTGTTTGCGGCTTTTAACAGTGAAAGGCTCGAAAGCAGTTATATTCACCGAACCAGAAATAAAAGCGCACACAACTTTCACTGGTAAATTGAATTTCATACGAAAAAAGATTTCTGTTGTGTCAAATCAGAAAGATTAGTTTCAGGTAATTTTATTTTTTAATAGATTTTATTAAATTTCGATTGTTGTTTATGTGAAAATAAAAGTTATAAGTAATAAAAGTACAATAAAAGTGGATTAGGAAAATATAAATTTTAATGGAGAAAGGATTAGTGTTTTTATTTTTATATTTGCATATTGTAGAATTTAGAACCATAGAGGTTAAGAAATTTGCTGTGTATTATTGCCTTTCTGTTCTTAAATTCTGTTCTGTACCTTTTTATTTTTTTGATCGTTCTCGTTTAAAATATGTAAACTCCTTTAAATATGCATAAATCTCCGAACTTAAATATTTTGAAATATAAGTACTCCGAAGTATTTTCAAACTGCTATCAATTAATTCTAATTACAACGCTTACAATGTTCTAAAGCACCTTATCGAAATTAGTCATGTTTCACTTTACTCGTAATTAATGTGGCAGCCTACTATCGCTAACAGCTTATTTATTATAATTATGGTCCGATGCTGACTCCAACAATTTTGCCTGAAGAACCATAGGCGATGTTACTAAATTTATATCCAAAGAATAGAAAAATCGAGATTAAATTTTTTATTTTAAAGTGTTAATGAGTTAAAAAGAAAAATGAAATAATGGAAATGAAAATTTCACTATCAAATAATTTTAGGGGAAAATTATTTAATTTTAAAATTTAGAAATAAAATAAAAAATATAAATTTTATTCTGCGATAAAAACCATTAAAGAACAGGCAAAATATTAAAAAAAATAAGTAAAAATTTTTTCTCAAAATTATACGATTTTATTTAATAACGTATAACGTAATTAAAATAAAAAAATGAATTTTATAAAAAAATGATGCAAAAAAGTGATAAATCTTCAATGGTACTATTATCGAACTACAGAAATAGATAGAAAATCGAAATTTATTTGCATATTGTTTTGTAGGAAAAAATAAATTATTTGTTCATAACAATGGATTTTCATCATAGAGTTTTGGCTTTATGTTTAAGAAGATTTATAAAAATCTCGACCAAACCAAGCATAAGACGAAGACCAATCAGGTCACAGGTCATGCAATTATATAACTTACAATAAGAAAAAAAGAGGGAGCGTAATAAATAATTCGATCTGAACACTTAAAAAATGTGAAAAATGTATTTATTACTGGTAACTAAAAAGGAAATCATAAAGAGTCATCCGTTTTTTAAAATAAAAAAAATTGCGTAAAATAATTTGTTAGATTTAAGCAATTTATTCCAATAATAATAATGAATAAAGAAATTTGATTTTTAAGTTGAATCATGCAGATTTGCTTTGCTAGTTTTAGTCCAATAAATCTCGTGTATACGCATATTTGTACGTGTAATTTGACGTGTAGTTTATAGTGATTATTACAGTGATTATAGTGATTATTATTATTTTAGTGATTGATTTCCGCAAAAATTTTATACGCAAATTTCTTCACGTAATTTAACTAAATTAAACAACTTCAGCCAAGTTTCTGATAAATAACCTGATAAGTGATCACTCCACTTCATGACTCCAGAATCCATGGCTTGCATGCGATATTACTTGATTATTAACGAACAGCGACCGAATCTTTATGATTAAGGCGTAAATTTTTATGATTTTTTTTTAACAGCAATCACCACTCACTGCTGGTTAGGCTGTGGCTCGTCCCGGCTTGCCGGACAAAAGGAATTTTACCATGGAATTATTTGGCGGTAGAAGTATAAATAAGCCGTCAGCACCACCTAATTTTTAAAGTACAAGTTTATTTTTTGCCGGTACAGAGCACCACTAAGCCATTCTTTTCACTTTTGAAGGTGATATTAAAGTGTGTATGCGTGTGCGTCTATGCGTGTGCTTTAAATTTTAACCATTCTCGATGACGATCATCTAAATTACAGAATTTTTTCAGAAAATAAATAATTATAATAAATCTTTTATAATAAATTTTGTTATAAATTTTGTTGTGAAAATAATAAAAATAAAAAATGCTTTAAAAAATAATAAAAAATAAATTTTACAATCATCAGAATAAAGATAGGTAATTTAACGTAAGAGTGATATTAAAAAGAATCGAAGACCAATCTAGCCAACTATCCTTTTTTCCTACATGAGAACATTGTAAATCTCGAGATTACGTAGTAAATGATCGAAGACCCAGTGAAACGGTTCCAAAATTAACATTTTTAAACAGTGCTGATTATGCTGATCATATCATCGTTTGAAGAGTTCTATATATGGGACGGCCATCTATCGCACTGGTAATCTCCACCGATCGAACCATATTACTGCTAAAGCCTTCTAAAATGGGAAACGTCATGCATCGAGGTTGTGTTCTTTTTTCTGCAGTTTTTGAGCATGTTGGATGGGATTATGGGCAGCATTTGCTCACATGCATCCAAGAAGCCTATCTAGAGCGTAGCATAACTTGAATACGCAGGAGATCGATCTTGTGCTTTCCACTAACAGAAGGAGCTGCAACAAACTTGGGATTGATAAAAGTTATTGTTCGAATCAATGCAAATAAAGCGAAATTTTTTTTTCCTTATATAGAAGATGCTGATAAGTAAATAAGCTGATAAGCTGATTTATTGCTTACTTAATTTCTGATTGGGCTCGTTCCACTGGTTGTTACATTGATAGATTTTTGCTAGAGAATTGTTACTTGACGACAAGAGTACAAGTGGACCGTTGGTACCATCGTTGGTATCGTATTTTTTTAGTGGTTATAGCAGCCGAATTTTGGCTGGTGCTGTAAAATAAATATCTCTCGTCCACCCTTATACTTAATAGCCCTCAGCCTAAAAATAAAAGTGCGCATCTGTCTGCTTTGGCTGTAGCACGCATAATCCACACTCCTACTTGTATGAATACGAAACTTGAGTAACAAAAGTGTAAGATAATCGTCAGACACTTATCCATTCTCATTTCTTTCTCATTCCTACTACCTAAGGCACACCATATGCTCCCATCGGAAAGGATTCCATGGAGTCGCATCTGTCTTTGCTCATCTTTATTTATAAATAATATGCTCCCACAATGTATCTAACACTCCCTCTGGTCAAGAGAAGAGAATTTCATCACAGCAATGGGTCATATTTAGCAAGGAGAATCAATCAAAATTGATACGACTGGGAGAGATTTTCGAACGCATAGGCCCAGCGATATGCGGAATTAGGCGATGGAAAAAAGAAAATCACTCTAAAATGCAGCACCGAATCGAGAAGCTTGCAAATGCCTTACCGCTAGCCAACGACGCTAACCTAATTAGTTGTGGTGCTTTTAGAAAGTGAAAAAATAAATTCTGTAAGTTATAAAAAATCTCAGATGAATGAAATAAACTCTAAAAATTTTTGTTTAGCCATATTCAATTCGAATTATGGTGATTTTTTTTCGCTTAAATATTTCAATATTGCCGTAGGCAATGACTTGAAATTATCGTTTGCATATGGACTAAATTTTTTGTATTTTTCATTTTTCCAGTTTTAAGAAGAAATTCGAAAATTCGAAAATGAATGAGGCATTAGCGAAACCATATCTCCTAATATAATACTGATAATATTGGAGTTCAGTTCATAAACCAGCCAAGAATAAGAGGCATTGTTGACAACTCACTTGCATTGATATTTTCATGTGGTACCAACATTTGGCAAAAATTTCTCATGGAACTAACAACAAGAAGAAACAGCAAGTGAAGCATGCCGAAAGAGAAATGCTGAATTTATTTAGTATAATGGCAATTGAATTCGCTTCAGTGCCTTGAAAAATGTCCTTTTTTCTCGGTGAAAAAAAAAATTCTTTGTCATGCTTCGATTAAATTCTATTGAATTTGACTTTTTTAAAGTTTACATTAAAGATCAGCGCTGATTTCATCTAAAATTAAGTGAAATTTATTTATTTTAAAGGTGAAAAACTTGGAAAAAACTTGAAATTTTTATTGGCATTTTTAATTGTTCATCCAACTGCTTTTTCAAAATTCTTTAGTGATTAACAAAATAAAATCATTGTCACCGCTATCACCATCTTCTTTCACTATTACTGGTTAGGTTGGCTCCACTGGCCAAAGATAAGGCGTTTCGAAGTTGCGCCATCGTCTAAGTCATCTGATGCCATCGTCGACGGTAGAAGTAGAAGCCACTCCTTTTTCCATCGTCTAAGTCCATATATTGCTGGTCCAGCTAGACGTTCAATAAAATCTTCTTGGAATATATCCAAAAGTTATCCACCTTTGATGCCTCCAGTGCGTATCCGCCAATCGGATAGAACCTCACATGACTGCACCAACCTTCGCTCAAATACCATTTGCATTAATCAATATCCTCAAAAAGCAGCGTCCAATAGACGTTTTCACAGAAAATGAATATCTAGCCGTTTCTGTGACGTAAATTTCTGTGATGACAATAAAGTGAGGACCTGGCTTGCGCTGCTAGAGTCAGGGAAGGAAAATAATGAAGACAGCTGACCAAATGATATAGGAGGGTGGAAAAAAGGATCTTCCAGGTACGGCATCCAGCAGTCCAGCAGTCTGGAAACCTTGCAACCTCTTGCAACCACAGAATTAGGCCAAATTACAAATCGCATGAAAATTGTGAAAATTCCATAAAAATATTCAAAAAGCATTTAGTATGTATTTTTATTAATAAGTGATTTTTCGCTAGCAAAATTATCGCAGTGCGTGGATCCAAAGGAATATATAAAATAGAAAATGCAAGAAACAAATATTTTTTTAATTCTGTCGTATTAAAACTCTGCGAAACGCTTCTCCCCTTTAGGCAATTAGTTCAAAACGCCGTCAATTGCGCGACAATTGTCCACCGCTGACGACAGCGATCTCTGTAATCTACAATATGCAATAATGGCTATTATCGTTAATAATATAATATGAAAAAGTCGATATACGCTTTCTTCTTATTAATAAGATTGAAGCATGTCCAATTTTCATGTTCCACTCTTTAATTACTCTAAATTAGCGTTTCTCAAAAATATCCGAAAAGAGGTGCGAATGCTCCTCGCCCAAAGGGGCATTTGAGGGGTCCTCAGGATTTTTTCTTTTAGTTTTTCTACTACGATAGATTTATCGAAATATAAAAACCATATAAATAAAAGCCTTTTCGAAGTTTTTTTCAAGAGATTTATGGAAGTTTTTAGAAAATTTTTGCAACAGGTGACCACACTATTTAACGAAGATTTATTAGATATATGGCGCAATACGAAATATTTCAATTGTTAAATAATTCGTTTAAAACGAACTTTGACCCCTTTGGCGAAAATTTAGATTTTTTATGACCAATTAAATATGGCCAATTTTCCACCATTTAATTTTTTTTTACAATTATTTTCTAAAAATAAAATTTTTCTTTATTCATCTAAATCAATATTTTAGTCATAAGCGACAAAAGTGTCGCATGAGTCAAATGTGTCCCATGAAATAAACTTGTCGCATGGATTGAACTTGTCGCCTGAAATCTTTAAGCAATAATAATAATTATTACTTCTTTTTGTTTGCACGTTTTCATTATAATAAATGGAGAAAATAAAGAATTCCACGAGAATTTCTAATTCAATCGATAAAATCTTGGTCAATTATTGATTTATTTTCTCTCTGGTCCTTCATGATTTATATATTATTCCACCGATTTCTCTAAATCTATTCCACACTCGACAATTTAAATAATATTTCGTTGCAGCAAAAATTTCTCTATTTCTCTAATTTCTCTTAACATTAATCATTAATCGAAAAGAATTTCATAAAAATTTAGTTTGTGTGGTTGTCGGTTGTTGTCGCACTAAAACGATGCAAATCGATCGAATCATACAAAATGTTCTGTTATTTACGTCTTTTTTAATTATTTCCGCAAAGGTCACGTAAGGTCACGCAATAGTTGACGTGGTCATATAAAATATATGTTAATATGCACCATCAGGCCACGTCATTCCATTGAATTTGAGGTGTTTGAACTAATTCATGTAATTCACGTGATCAAATGAAATAATGCATCATCACCAGATCACCAGGTCATTCTATAGAATTAAGTAATTTAGTGGATTGAGTGATTCAACTAAATCGCTGATTATATATATATATAAATATATTTAATTATGCAGTATCAGGTCATTCCACGTAGTGATTGTGAGTGATTAATTAATTTAGGATTAGCGAAGACGATTCACGGAATAATTCACGTGAATTACGTTGCTTTTCTAGCTGTTAGTAGTAATATATATTACATCTATTGAGTTGTGAAGTTTTAGGCATTTTTTTTTTCGTTGGATAAGAAGGGTGACGTGTCGCAGATTTGATGGTAGAAAAAAGAGTAAAAGAAATTTAGTTAATCAATAATAATAATGGTAATAATTAGTAATAATAAATATTTTGCGACTAATTTTTTTAGATAATTTTTATCGAATAAAATTCGAAGAAATTTAATAAATTTTATAATAAGTTGATAATAATAGAATTTCTCGTTATTCACTTACTTGGCCGCTATTAATTTTAGTTTTCATTTTTTAATATTCTAAATTTTTTTTAAATTTAATTTTGAATTTCCAACTAATTTGAATTCAATTGAAATGCAAAAAAAAGGAGCAGAGAAGAGAATTTGTTTTTTTTTTCTCTGTTCAACAGAGAGTTAATTATGAAGGAGAAAAGGAGAAATACAGCACGAATTTCCCTGTTTTCTAAGAGGAAAAGGACGATTGCGCGCGACCTATCATCTCTGACCACTTAGGACCATTTCATCACATGTTTCCTCCTCCATTCTCCCTTAGCTATAGGATATTCCTTACTCCCCGTCCTTCTTCGTTTCTTACTCATATGTTTTCCTTCTCGCATTTAGTTATACTTCTCCACTGACTATAAACCACCATTCTTTGCCAGCTATCTTCCATATTTTTCTTGTAGTTGTCTTTGCCATTTTCTCGGCCATATGGCCGAGGATATTTCTGCCTTATCGATTTTCTTCTGGAAATAATGCTTTGACTGTAAAATATCGAAGAGATTGCAAATCAAATGGGCGTACGTATTTGACGACGTATGTTACGAAATTTGCGCGCGGGGGTGGTCGCTTTGGTGAATATCCCGGAGGAGGGCGTGGCTTCCGATTGAACCTGGTGAGGAAGTAGTGGGGGTGTGGTCATTTTGGGGAAATGAACGTAGGCGTGGTCCAGATGGTGAAATATTTAGACCATGGTGGGCGTGGCTTGTGATTCAGATGATATGTTGAATTTGTCGAGGAACGGAGTTTGTTTATAACTATTTGAACTAAAAGAAGAAATTTTGGCTCGGGTGTGACATCATATGTGTGTGCGTGGTGCATGGTGCATGGATACGTGTGTGGATGCGGGTATGCGCGCGCTTATGTGTGTGTGGATGCGTATGTGTTTGTCTGTATTGGCTTTAAGAGAACGTATTTGTCAGTCTTGCGTTGTTCGTATGAGATATCATAATGAAAAGAGAAAGATTTCGTTGCTAAAAGTTTGTAGAGAAAAGAGGATGGACCAGTTAGTTAGCGCTTCCTCTTCGGAATAAGGATGATGGTGATCAGAATAAAGAAGTACGGATATTTCGGAAATCCGAGTGGTTCTGTTCTGAAGGGGCCAGCAGAACGATGATTAGAGAAAATGAGAGCTGTTGAAAAAGGGAACGATGAATAATTGGTGAACGGGACATTTTGGCTTCGAGGAGGAAAATGCACAATGAATTTACTTTATTCGTCAATAAATAAATCAATTTCATTTTCTTGGTTTGATTTATGCAAATCGTTTCTTTAAACATTTCATATAAAAAAAAGCTTAAATTCACGTTCAGTGTTCCTCGATAGGTATGATAATCTCCTCGAGGTCAAATTTGTGGTCGGAAATTAGATTGCATTGGTTAGTGACGCTTGAGTGGTGTGATGTTGTTGGTGTTTGTGCGGTGAAAAGACTGAATCGGGTTTTTTGGATTTTTATTGAGTTGAGGATTCGAGTTGAGAGTGTTGCGTTTCCTAAAATCTCTTATTTATTGGCAATTAACGAATGAACAGATTGGACAATTGGAAAACAAAAATTTATAAAACATTGTTATATATTAATATTTTTTCTTTATAAATAATAATTATTTGTTTATTGCAAAAAAAAGCTGTAAAAGTTGCAAAAATCAAGAAACGACGAATATCGAGAACAATAGTTAATCCATAATTAAATTTTCTTGTTGCTATTTTTATTTTATGGAAAACAACTTTTTTATTTCGTTTCTACATAAGTTAACAATTTTTTCTACAAAAAAAAAGAGAAAGAAGAATGAATTAAATATTCACCGCTGGAAAGTTTAATATATATATATACATATGTGTTTTGATCCGTACAAATGATGACAATTCATGAAAGAAAGAAAAAGCGGAATAATTTTTTAATTTTTATTTTTAGTTTTGCAAGTTATGCGAAAACAATGATACGTTACGCAATGTCAGCAGCTGAACGTGAATTTGATAAATTTAACGTAAAACTTGACGTGAAAATAAATAATAGTGTTAATGATGATGATGATGACGATGATGATGAAGGAGACGGTGATGAAGAAATGAAAGAAGGAATAAGTGAAAAGGAAATGGAAGAGGCTGAACGAGAAGAAGGTGAAATATTTGAGGATGATGATGATGATGATGATGGTGATAATGGTGATGATAACGACAAGCTTAACAGTAATCGTGGTCATAGTAATCATTATAATGATAATGGTGATGGTAATAATCACGAAAACACTAATTATGACAATGAAAATGCTAATAAGACTAAAGGTAATTTTTTGTAATGAATTTGCATTGTCGCTGTTATCATTGACTGATTAATTTGAGTTTCATTTACTATTACTTAACATTATTATTATTGTTATTTTTTTGTACTTTAATTATTAGGAAGTAGAATGGTTCCAAGTGGGTCTCTATTATTTGCGAAAATCGAAAATGGTGGTAAGGGTGCCTTCAGAAATTGGCTTAATACTGACGATTCGCTTAGACTTCTATTACAAAATGCTGCCTGGGTGAAATAAGTCTGACAATCAAGCGGAGCGAGTCTAACCGGAAATGTGAACTCTCTTAAAGGTGAAAAAAAAGATAGACGTAAGGGGTTTTATCTTTGATGTCTGTATTTTTTATTTATTTGTTATAGAAAGTGATTTGACTCGAAAAACAGCAATTTCATCATCACAGCAGTCTGAAACGATATCAATGATATCAAAATTATCATCAATCCAGCGAAAATATCCTCGAGATTATGATCGAGAAGAGACTTTGGTACGTACATCACGTATAATTATATAAATATGAACAGCTAAAAAGGAATAATTTAGAAAAAAAAATAACTTATGTGATAAAAAAAGGATGGTGGAAATCGCCCAATGCCTTGTTAATCTTATTTCGAGTGCTGATGCTGGGGTTCTATTCTCGATAGGAACAAATCTGGAAAAAAATTTCTTTAAAAAATCCAGGCAGTGCTAGCTAACCACTTGTACCGCTGCTCTGTGTGCCTCATTGATAAAATTTAATTAGGGCAGCAAGGCACAATCTAAATCTAATCAGAAATGATAAACATTCATAGAAATTATATTTCTATGAATAAATCTAATTAATTATATTTTAATAAGAAATGTCTAAAAAGTATATCTGAAAGTTTCATTTTACTCGAAGAAAAATCAAAAAAAAATTAAAAATAAAATATTTATAATCATAGATCATGAAATAAATAAATAAATATAAAAAAACAAACATAAAAAACAAACAAATATAAACAAATATAAATATGAAAAAAATTTTTTAAAATTATTTGAAAAATGGTTTTCTATAATTTTACTTATCTTACTTCTAAAATAATGATTTTATAATTTTATATTGATAATTTTGTAATTAATAAATATTTTAAATATTTTTATATTTTAGAATATTCGTGGCACAGAAACAAGTATGATTAGTTCATGGATGAGTGGAATAAAACAACGCATAAAATCATCGTCGAATTCGCAAACAATTGATGCAAATGAAGAATATTATGGTTATGGAAATGTATCGCCTTTACAGGGATCGAATGACAAGGATTATAGGAATCGTAGTCTCGAAATTGGTGATAAGGTTTCTTTTGGCAAACATTACCAAATAGATAACAATAATGATTTTTTTTTGGGCTTTTATTTTTCCTCATAAAAATTCATTAATTGAAGGACTATCGTTTTAATTCATCAAGAGATGAAGAAGGCAATCATCGTAATACAAATCAAGATGCTGTAAATGAATTCGGTGATAGTGATTATAGAGGCTCTTCACCGCGTGATCGAAGGTTTTTTAAAATTTATTTTATCTTTTTTTAAAGCATATTTTCAGTAATTTTGATGGTAATCATTAAGATAGAAGCACTATTTATAAGGTTTTTATCTCTATGTCTGTAAACCTTATCAGTGCCAATTCTATCTTTTGGGTGATCCAGGTGAAAGTTGATAAAAAATGGATAAATTTATCCAATAAATTTATCCATCTATTTAAATTTAATTGACTATTATTACGGGTGGGTCTCACTCATGATCAGCTGGGCTTTCATAATGTTTTTTCGGATCAGCAATAGCAATTTCACTTATCATTATTGTCCAATTATTGTCAAAAAAATTTAAAGCAAATTTTATCACGGTTGCTAGAATTAAATAATCAGAATTTCATTCGTTTTTATTAAGACGTCGCCGAACGCCGAGTCCGTACAGTTCGAAACGTGCAAGAGGATATTCACCTGGACGTGGCGGTTATAGAGGTCGAGGATTTCGAGGTCGTTGGGGTGAAAGACAGATTTGTAAATTCTTTCGGGAAGGTTATTGTCGCGATGTTCGTTTTATTTTATTTTATTATAGTAGTTTTTTTCACGTTTTTTATGTTTTTTATGTGAATATGGCAGATCCGAAAAGAATAATTTTAATTAATTTTATAAAAATTTGTAAATAATCTTATCAATAATAAATTAATGAGGTAATTAATAATAAATAAATTTAGGGCGAAAATTGTGCATATTCACATGATGCAGCAGATTCCGGTCGTAAACCCGAATTATGTAAATTTTATCAACAAGGTTATTGCAAAAAAGGACTTCAGTGTCCTCTTCTTCATGGTGAATATCCGTGTAAAGCCTTTCATAAAGGTGAATGTTCTAGAGATCCTTGCCCATATAGCCATGCTCCACTGAATAACTTCACTCAGCCAATATTTGATCAAATTATGAAAGATGATGAACTTGCGTCACGCATTCCCATACCGCAGGGTCCTCTCAAACGTCGTGTTTTAATTCCGGGAGGTCCCACCCCTGCTGCACCTTCTGCTGTACCGGTTATGGTATCTCTTCCATCTGCCATTGATCCCTCTGTAATTGGAGGTGTTATACCACCTCCATCAGTCGTAGTGCCAACCTTAGTATCAAATCCTGCTGGCACATTAAATCAACCACAAATGATTATTCCTCCAGCAGTTGCTGTTCAGTCTTCACAGTATCCATCATTTTTTGCTCATCATAGTATGGCTACACCGAATACAGTTGAACCAAGTGTTTCAAACGCTATCAGTTTGATTGCAAATTCTATATCTGAAGCGTCGACTGCTACATTGCAGCAATTTCGTGTATGTTTTATTATTTGCAATTTATGTTTTATTAATCTTTGTTGAAAAATTATTGAGTCTATTTCGTCATTTTCAACTTTTTTCCTGATTTGATTTTGGCTGATTTTTGATCATTATTCATTCTTAAATTCAATTCGACGTTTAATTTTTTAAAATTTTAGAATTTGGATGTAAAAAATGATGAACAAGAAGAAGACGACGACGATTCATCTTTCAATATCAATAAAATGCTCGAACAAATCGCTTCTAATGTTCGAAATGACGTACCTGACGGTAATTTTTTTTAGTTATTTAGTTTTTTTTAGTTAAATTTTGTTAATTTTGGTGCTTCTTTCGCCAAGAGTCTTCATAACATTTATGTGGTTCGAATCAGTGGGGCAAATCTAACAGAAATGGTGAATAATGCGATTTTAAAAAAAATTATTTATAATAACTATATTTTAGAATCTCCAGCTAGTCCTCCCATGTTCACGAATGCGACCAATGAAACTCCAATGATTCCACATGCAAATGTTTCTCCTTGGAAATTGCATCTTATGGATGATTTACCTGTTCCCAATGCCAATATTGATCCCAGCATATTGCAAGTAAATTAACTTGTTAATATCATTTTAATCATATTTGGATCAAAAATTTCGAAGAGGTTTTTGTGTTTGTGAAAAAGAAAATGATATGAATTCATTTTTTAATTAATTGAATTGAATTTTCTTTTGTTCTGCTAGATTCATTTTATTTTTTAGAGTTCATTAACGGATTCTCGTTTGCGCAATGATCCTCGCGTCAAAAAAGCTTTATCATCGCAGTTCGATGCTTTTACCAATTCATTAATGAATTCAGCTCCACCACCTCTTCCACAGCCCGCTTCAATTTTTATTCAGCCTCAAACCTCTCCTAGTAATGAAGAAAAGAGGTTAATTTTTTCTTTTTTGTAGTTTAGTAAAACTGTAATGGGCTTTGTTTCTTGGCAAAATAAAATTATAATTATAATTATAGTGGGTAATGTTATTTCGAATTTTTTTATGTTGGTATTAATCTTCATATATGTGGTTTTTGCAGTAGTGGTAATAGTACGAAACCAGTCGATCCTCGAACTATCGCCAATCGTGATCCACGGAAACGACTACCTTCCAGTGTTCAAAAAGTTTCTGCTGTTTCTTTTGAATCTCGATCTAGCATGTTATTAGAACAAAGACCTGCTGAAGATGATGTCAGTACTCAATACTGATTTTCTGAATATAAGAGATAAGAGATATTGTCGGTCATTTACACTAATTTTTTTTAGGCAAATAGCAGTACATCAGCGGCACCATCAACATCCACATCACGATTAGATCGGCTTTACTCTTCCGATTTTGCGGATCCACCGCGGGATCAGGATCATCGTCGTGATTCTGGAAGCACTTATCAAGATGATCGTTTCGAAAGTCGCCATTCTTTCGTACCCAATGTTGGCACAAGTTGGATGCCACAAACACATAACAGTGACCATCGACAGAATCGACGGTATGTTGAAATTTTTTCTTTACCCGTGAAAATACTAAAAAAGAAAACAAAAAAAAACAGTGAAATTTACTTTAAACAAAGTTTAAGTTGTTGTAATCGGTACAGTTGCTTTAGTTTTCAAAAAATTAATTTTAGTTGTTTTAGGAACCGCGACACTGGCTACCGCAGCGACCATGCATTTCACGACCATGATGAACGTGAGATATTGAGTCATTCATCTTCCGAATTGAGTAAATCTTCTAATGTTGATACAGCTTCATTTGGGTCAACTGGACCTATTTCTTTGCGAGAAAAGCGAAAAAATAATGAGTATGAAAGTCCATTAAGTCGAGTGCCAAATAATACTCGGTGGGGCCAGTAGTCCTTATTCATATGATTTTTCGTGATTTAAATTTTTTAAATTGTTGTGTGCCTTTATTTTAATCATTAAGCATTCTCATTTAACTATAATTTGGTGCTTTTTCGCGAAAGCAGAATTCGATTTATGTTCTAATTTTTCTAAGTTTTCTAATTTTTTTTGATGAAAAATGTTGAATCATTAGCGAATTACCCAGTTAAGTTGGATCGCTATTAATTAAGATGATGGTATTTTGTTGTAAAAATTATATAATTTATATAATTTTGACGTTGATAACATTAAAAAAATTACTTCAAAAAACGCCTTGATTTAGTTGTACGTTCTTTCATTTTTCAATTTGCTTCTTTTTACCATTTTTTTCCCTTTTTTGCTTTTTATTCTTTTAATTTATCAAATATATTTCGGAAGTGAAGGAAATTTTTTAATGGATATACACGTGAGGATATACACGATGTGAGGTTTCTTTGCAATTCCTTGGGTTTTGATTGTTTAAATAGGACTCAGAACTATAGATATATTTGTGATTTGCATTAAGGATATATTGCAAAAAAAAAGAAAACTGGCTATAAAATTCGAAGGTAATTATTTAGTTGAACTTGAGTGGACGATAACATTCTAATTATGGTAATATAATTGGAGGTCAAAATTATTATAATATCTGTTATTTGATCTTTTTTTGCTTTTAATGGTGCTATTTACTGGTTCTTTATAGTCACCGATTTAATATAGTGAATAAAAATTGATATATCTTGCGGAAGCGAGTTTGCAGGGTTTATGTTGGTTTATTGTGGTGTATTTTTTGGTTTGTGGTGTATTATGCTTTTGTTTTATTTCTTTATGTCCTTCAGGCGCGAAATGATTATAATTCCATTTATTTCTAGATTTGCATATAATTTTTAGCGAAGGTTGTTGAAAATGCAATTTGAGAGAAGCAATTTAAGGTGTCGTTAATTTCTTTATGGTATTTGTTTGGGCTTTCTTTGGGTGTCGTAGCGCTACTTTCAAACATATCATTGTATCGAGCAGCCTTTGAAACGCCTTATCGTTATAGCTAAAACCAGCGGAACTAATAATGGTGCAAGCTATTAGAAGGTGAAATGGTATTTCTTTTCAAATGGAGTTGTCTGGAAGGTAAAGCGAAATATGAAATATCATTTATGTATCTCGCACCATCACCGCGGAGAGGTATTTTAGAGGCGCTTTTCGTCAGAGTCATTGGATTCCAATAGGTTGATAGCAGATGCTTTGGAAAAAATTGTTAAAATTCTGGAAATAATTTTTATTCATTTAAAAGAAAGCCGATCCAAAATCCGAAATATATAAATAAGTATATTTATAACATTTGGTTTAATTAAAGGTGCCAGAAGTATCCGAGGATGCGCTTTAATTTATAAGTATTGTCAGGTTCGTCCTTGGCCAAAGAATAGAAAGTATCTGCAATACAAGTGATAAATCGGTGATAAGAATTTGGAAATATGCCGTCTTCAAGAGAGGTTTATATGTGCATTTATAAAGATTGATTTGAATTTTGGATATTTTCGTGAGAAGTCAAATCGATTCTTACTTATTTTCTTATCAACTTTCATCTCTGTTTTGTCTTGGAATTGTTTTTTTCCAAAATGCACCATCTTTTCCTTGATCAATTCCACTGATTACTAGGATAATGGTCTTTTGCTAAAAGACCATTTGGGAATAAAGGTGCATAAGTGACATGAAAGACCTCGAGCATTATCTCCTTAGTTTGTTGTTTTTAATAATTTAACGTCCATTAATTTATTGCCTTTTGTCTAAGATGGCTTAATATCAGTTTTAAAACGAGTTGACCGGGTGACACTGGTGATTGCATGATTCAAATCAATGGAAGGAATCTTATCGAAAATGGTGAGAATTGTCGAAAAAAAAAAATTGGAACCATTTTTTTAAGGTATAATTTTTAATATAAATAAATTTTTCGATCCTCAAAAAAAATATTTAAGAATTTTCCTTATTTTCAGTTCGCTATAAATGGTGGTGTCGACAAACTTGCTTCTTCAAAACTATTATATTCGTCGTTCTATTCGGTTGAAAAAAAAAAAAAACGAACCATGCTTCTCGTCACTGTAGAATTCATAAACGGGAATTGTTGCACCACAGTCGTTCTTGATTTGTACGCAATAACCAAACAACTAAATCATATTCATTCAGTTAAGCCTCGAATTTTCCTGAATTCAACTAAGTGCCATTGCACCATAAACGAACAATTTTATCTCTGTTCTATTGTCGTCTATAATATATTAACTCGTAGGAATCAAATTTCATCGTTTATATTAACTAATACGACTCAAACAATAAGTAAAAGTATTTTTATCTGTGATAAAAGGGTCGTTTCCTGGCAGTGTCAGAGGATTTCGATGCGGAAAGCCGATAAATTTAAGCCACAACATTCACTCGCCTATTTTATCTTCAACTCAAATACTATTCTATTCCTTGTTCCTTGAATAATTTCGAAATAATTTGATAATTATTTTATTAACAAATTTTATTTCTATTTATTTTGTATTTATTAAAGAAAAAAAAGAAAAATCAAATTTTTTTCAAGGATAAAAAAAGTCAAATTTTTTATCATTTTTTATCATTTCATTTGTTCTTAAAATTCTAAAATTAGAAATTCTTCTGAAATTGGCAAATAAAAAAAAATTTCCTTTTTCCATGCTATTAAAATGTTATTTTATATAATTTAATTATATAAAAAAAGGAATAAAAATAATTATGAATAATAAAAATTATAGGGAAAGATTTAATAGGATTTTATTATTTAATGTATGCAAGCATCATTTCAGTTATTTCTTGAAATGTTTTTTCCTATTGGTCTTCTATCGGTTTTAGTGTCTACGAATTGAAATAGAGACAAAGACTGCTGATAGGTGTGAAGTTTTCCTATGGTACTAATAAACTTTCAACAAATTGAAAGTGGAACTTCGAAAAATAAACTGGATAGAAAAGTGTGGTAAAATAAATGAACGAACTCTTATGTGGATCATGCTCTTTTCATCAGATGGTTTTCCAACTTCTAAAGCATTGTCGAGATGCTGCCAAAATCGATCTTAAAATATTTTTTTTTAATTTTTTTATTAATTTAACCGATTAAGCATTTGTAAATATAAATAATTTTAAAAATATTAAAGCATTAAAAATAAATATTATGGATAAATATAATAAATGAATAATGTATTGTATGAAATACATTAAATATGTTATAATATATTATGTATAATAATATAATAAATACAATATATTATATTATATTAACAATATATAATATATTATATATTATATTAAACATATTAGAAGTAAAAGTAATTTAAGGATAAATATAATATAGTTAAATTAAAATATAAAATTTTGTATTTTTAATTTAACTATATTTGTAAAATAAAATTTTGCAATTTATTTCGAAAATTTTGCTGAATTTATAATTATAATTATGAATATTATAATTATTATTTATTTTTTTATTTTTTATTTTATTTTAGTTTTTTATTTTTCTCTGTTATAAATATAAAAATGTAGAAAATATAGAAATATTACATTACGTTAGTATTACATCATATTTTTTCATTTAATTCTTTGGTGATTAGGTGATTATTTTTTGACTCTGGTGACAGTGATTTCTATTCCTATATTATTCATGGATGAATAGAAATTTTATTCTCAGGATTATAGGACCTCATTGGTGCCTAAACGAAAATTATGTGCAATAGTAGTCAATTAGTACTTTCAGCCGAGTGTACAGGAAGTACCACGTGGTAGCTGTACAACGGCAAAATTGTCTCGCATTGTGAGAGTATTTCGTCGTTCGTATCTCGAATCGTTACAATATTGCTTGTGTTTAGAGCTAAAAATAAAGATGAACAATATAGACCCTATAAAATTTGCTCATTTTTTAAAGAATCTTTCATAATGAATTTTATTACTATTTGACAATTTTAGGTTATTAGGTAATATAATATTAGGCTACTTACTAGCAAATGTGCAAAAAAAAATCAAAATGATACAAAACAGTGGTACTCTGAAAATTTTTGCCAGGTGATGAAGTAAAGTATAGTAAATAAGTAAAAGACAATGGTAAAGAAAAGCTGTTCGAATATTTCGATTCAGTAAATCTTTTATCATTTATCTAAAATATTTTTGCACATATATCGATGGTTAAAATAGTTATTTGAGTAATAACTGAGGAAGATACATGTGTTTGATGAGGGCTTATATGACACCTCTATTCTCTGGTTTCTTTATGGTGAAACGATCTCTATGGTTGTTATTTGTGAACGAAGACTGCTGGAAGATCCACATGACATCTCCAAATTCCTCAGGTTCCTTCTCAGATACCTCTATGGTAAAACGATCTCCGTGGTTTGAATTTGTTGAATTCTGAGGTAAGGAATGGAAAAATCTTTTAAACAAACCTTTTCATGCGATTTTTCATGGATTTATGTTGAACGAATGTATATAAATAAAATACCTTTAATATCGTAACCGATTTGTTTATATGCTTCAATTAAATTTTTTTCCGTTTCAAATGATTGGTCAACGAACTGCTTTGAATATACTTCGTAGATAGTGACATAGTTCTCTCTTAACGATGATAACGATGATAATAATTTTTTAACTACTTTATTAATGATAAAATAGGAGAGGAGAGGAAATTTTCTTAATAATCATTTTTATCTTCTAATTTTATCAGCGATTCACTTGGTGACTTGGTGAAGAAAATATGGGTAAAATATCTTAAACGTCCGGTTTTTTTGCAAGAGAGGTCTGTTTTGCTCCTACGGTGAACAAAGCATCAGTATTAGTATTGTACTCTGAAACAAGAGCGACAACCCACTGAGCCATCTCATCCCTCACATTACGATTTATCTAAAATGTACAGGAGGGCTTTCAAAAATCGTATAAAATATTATATGCAAAATATAATAAAATAAAAATTCATGAAAATTATGATTTAATTTATTCACATACTGAACATATTCTGGTGCTTCATCGATCGTATCTGAAACGAATATAATATTATTTTCGGAAAAAAGCTTGTGGTGAGATTTAGAATGTTAATTAAGCCTACTAATCAGTGCATAGAGCAGTAGACTAGGCTCGCAGTTATAGGCTTAAAACCCTATTTTATTTTGTTTTAAAAAGAAATGAAGAAAAAATCCACCACGAAGAACTCGAACGTTGCAGGAAAGGTAAATCAAGGAATCAAGGAATTCCGAAGAAACAATCAATCAATGCGATACCCACTGAATAAATTAGTTCTCCCTAAATAAAGATTATGCTCATCCGTAAAAGCCTTTTTACTGGCATATAATCTCATAATTTCCAATGTGGCGAACTCTATTAGTTATCAGATTGAAAATCTTTTGCCGAAGAATTATTTTGGCATGGAAGTACAAGTGAATAGCTGGTACCACAGCACCACTCGGTTCTTTCAATGAAGGATTTATTCCTGGCAAGAAGATTCGGTGCGGCATGGCAATCATCTATTCAATCCAATATCCAGTCATCTATTTTGTTCAATGATATTACTGTATATTTATAATGTAATGAGGGGCGAATCGAGGAAGATCAAGAATATCGTCAATGGTCGCGTGGTGCAAAAAATTTCGAACGATGAAAAGAAAATTTTCTTAGAAATGAAAAATTTATACCATCAATGTAACAAGCGATAGTTAAGATAATCCACAGGTGAAGAAAAATTAAACGCTTCATTTCAACAAGTGCTTGTTGGTAATTCCTGAAATTTTTCCAGCTTACGATAGAAGTTTTCTTTGACTAAACAATTAAGTAGAATATAAGTTTTTTTTTCTATGCCCTTATAGTTTTTCACTGCAGGATTATTCTTCTCCTACGGACCACTATAAGCTATATTTCTGGTTTAACTGACTATACTACTGAGATTCTTCAAATAGATCGCAGTTTAGTTTGGCTGAGATTCGCCACACTCGCATTTCTCGCAGTACTCGAATTTTTAATAATTTTAATTCAGATCGGTTCCATCCTAAGCTAAATCTTTAAAATAGATCGATTAATCTATTCAAAACTTTTTATCAGAATTTTTCTCGAATCAGTTGGATTAGATTACTTTGGCATAAAATATCACTCAAAATTACTATACGAAATACTAAAAAAGAAAAGTGAAAAATTGGCCAAATCGCCAATTTTTTTTTTTTCACTGAAAAATAAAATAATGTAAAAATTTGTAAAACTTTATAAAACTATAAAATCTAAAATTTGCGAAAGGTTTCGGCCGCATGAAGCGATTTTATTGCAAATATTTATGAGTAAATTCATAGCGTAATAGTAATAAAAGTATATTGGCAGTAAACGCCATAATTAACTTATCATTATCATTAATTGTTGACAATAATTTGCTAAATTTATACGAATTATAATTTTTGCTAATGCAAAATGACGAATCATTTTGTACTTTTAAATATAATTTTAATAATATAATTTTGTTGGGCAATCACTTAGCGATAGAAATATAAATGAGTGGAAAGCTTCTATTACTATCGACGATGGCATCAGACCGCGCCGCTTGGAAGTGTCTTATTCTTTTAGCCAACCTAACCAGTAATGGTGAGAGCTGTTAGAAGAAGATGATGAGTGGAAAGCAACGGCGTGCTTTCTGAAAGCCGGCAGATTTACTTCTACCTTAAGTGGTATCGCAGCTATAAAATAGGAGAACACTAACAATCCACTGAGCCGTTCTATCTTCTAAATATTTTAAAAGTTTGTGCTAATGATTGATTTAGAAATTCGAAATATAACTAAATTTCCAATAAAATTATTCGTTTATGAACCGAATTACAAAGAGCCTATAATTAGATACTAAAGAGATATGACTTTCTATTGGAATTATCAAATCTTTTAGAATATTAATCAGCACAACTGATCTGAAAATGATAAGTAATGATTTTATCAACAACTGATTTATCACCAGAAACTGAGGCCATACGAAGATTATCACCATCAGCTTTCCCGTACTTATAATTTAAGTAATTTCTAAATTTAAAATTCGCGCGCAAAAAATTGGGTTTTAAAGCCATTTTTTAAATACTGTATTTAAAACTTGCTCCAGTTGTTTTTTTGTATCTTTATTCGGTTTTTGAAGACTAGTTTTTAAGGCCTTTGACGAAAAAATATTTGTTTTTAAATTATGTCGATTGATATTGAAACCACTTGGATCTTTTTATTTTTAATTAGTTTTTTATGGCAAATTTGCGGTTTTTTCTCAAAAATTTGCTTTTTCTTTCAAATTTAAAATTTTTTGTTTTTTTTCCTTTTTATTTCTTTTTTATTTTTTTCTTTCGCTTTATTTATTTATTTTTTTCAGTTTATATTTGTAGAATATAGAATATTTATAAATATATTTGTATTTATAAAAAATTTAGTGAATTTTTTTTTGGAATTTAATAAATTGAATTTAATTTGATTACCTTTTCTTATTTCAGTTGCTTAATGCATAAAATATTAAATATCAATTTAAATTTGCAATCGATGTCGAAATTCTTTGGATATTTTTTAATTGTTTTCGTTATTTCTTCGTTAACAAGTATTTCCTTTTTCAGTTCGTTAAACTTAATTCAGTTTTATTAAAAACTAAAGTAAACTTTATTTTGTAATATATTTTATATATTATTATAAAAAATAGCTTTGTTTTAATTTTTCAAAAATCAAACGATATAGGTAATAAAACAGGTGATAAGTTCAAAGAGTGGGTTTCAGTGATTTCTTATTTTATCATTTCCCTCTTTTTATTTGGCACTTATTTTATTAAAGAAGTGCAGCCTGGCTATTATTTTAAAAATCTCAAAAGTTATTGTAGTGGTGGCAAGATTTTGGGATTTGGGAGAAGGCGACTTAGCGACAATAATAGATTACAGATTTTGATTGATTTTCTCTGCCTTCTTATCGAATTATTTCATTTATTTAGAATATAGTTTTATTATTTTAAGGAATAATTTTTATCTTTTGTGGAATGTAATTTTAATATTATTAATTGCATTTGAATATTAATATAATATTTATAATATAATATTTTATATATTATCTATAATATTTTAATATTATTATTAATTAATCTGATAAAATATTAGTAATGTTATTTATAAATATTAGTAATGTTATTTATAAATATTTAGGTAAATATAAATATTTCATTACAAAATTATTTTTGATAATTATTGCAGTTTATTTGTACAATGGACATGAAACAGACGCAAATACCTCAATATATTATCAACGATCGGCTTATATCGTCGATTATGCATCAAAAATATTTCAGTAATGCTAATTTCATTTTCTTATAAAATTCTGAGAAATTCTCCATTTATTTGAAATTTAAATTTGAAAAAAAAAGTGGAATTCAACCAAATGATATTGGAAAAAATTTTGGTTCTTTTGGAATTTAAATAAAAGATAATAGCAAAATGATAAAATATATTTTATTATTTCCTTTAAAAATTAGCTAAATGGATTCATTGTTGTTTTTTTTTGTGCATAAAAATATATATATATTTTTGTTGAAAACTTGACTATAAAGTACCGCATATTCACCTTTTTTGAACTATTTTTTAAAGGAAAATATTTTAAGGCAGCGAAATATTTAGTTATTTATTAACAAAGAAATTCGCAAATTGCTACGCAATATATTGACCTAATTGTTTTTAATTTTTAGTCAATTACACGCTTTGCAAGAACAAATCAATTATTTAAAGCGAATTTCGCAAAAAGAATTGAAATTGTTAGTTTTTTTAGTTAGTTTTTACTTTTTACTTTTTATCATGAAACGAATTTGAAGAAATAAGAAAATTGTCTATTTCTGACATTTTTAATGCAAATTCAATTATAAATCGATTATAAATTGAATATTAATTGAAATATTAATTGAATAAATTACTAATATGGATTTAATAATATATTCTTTATTTTCAACAATAAAATCTTCGGAATATAATAATTTTTATCTAATCTGTTTAGATCAACTGAGAGAAAATTTGCTAAAGTGAAATTTAGAAATGAAGCAACCAGGAAAAGAATTTTAGTAACAGGTTGTGTCATTTTTTTAAACAATGCTTTTTGTTATTTACAACGATAATATTATCGTATTCGTATATGCATTAGTATAATTTTTTAAGGTGGTGCAGGCTTTGTTGGTTCGCATCTTGTTGATCGTTTAATGTTAGATGGTCATGAAGTCGTAGCGCTAGATAATTATTTCACTGGCAGAAAGCGAAATATTGAACAGTGGATCGGCCATCCGAATTTCGATATTGTTCATCATGATGTGGTTAACGAATATTTCATTGAAGGTGACCTGTCGTTAAAATTCTTTCATTTTATTTGAAATATAATCTGCCAAATTTTTTTGATTTTATAAGCAAAATGGTTGATTGTTTGTGGCTTGTCTGCACGATCTCCAGTAAGTAACAGAAGTCATTCTGGCCAATGGAATCAGCCAGTCATACTAAAAGAAAGAAAAAAGAAAAAGAAATATTGCATAAATCGATTATTCATTGATTATTCATTCATGGTTATTTCAACATTGACTTATAGGATAAAGTTACAATTCATTTTTTATCTTTCTTCCACTCATCTTTTATTTTTCCAGTTGACGAGATTTATCATCTGGCCTCACCTGCTTCTCCTCCTCACTATATGTATAATCCAGTAAAAACGATTAAAACAAATACTATTGGAACAATTAATATGCTTGGCTTGGCGAGGTTGCATCATTCTTCTATTTTCTTCCACTTTTTTTATGCCTCAAAATTTGCTCCAGATGAGTTGGGTAACGAGACAAGATCCTTCCAATTTGTAGTAATTTATATTAGGTTCTTTCATTCCAATTTTTGGCATAAATTTTTCACATTTTTTAAATACTTAAAGGATAAATGCTTTTGATGATATACTGTATTCTATTTTTTGCCGTTTATAGGCGTGTAAAGGCTCGTATATTGCTTGCTTCAACATCAGAAGTTTATGGTAGTCCACAAGTACATCCTCAGCCAGAAACTTATTGGGGTTATGTTAATTCTGTAGGTCCTCGCGCCTGTTACGATGAAGCGAAGCGTGTTGCTGAGACACTTATGGTTGCATATAATAAGCAAGTAATTTTATTCGCTTCTATAATTTTCCATGTATATGTTTGGTTGAATTTAGATTGATATCTATTATTGTTGCACTGTTACATTTGTTTGCCCAATTTTTTACAGAAATTTATGTGCAGTTACTGAAATGAAGTTTCATTAGTGTATTTTTAAAATGCGTAGGCAAGCTTAAAGTTGTGGAAATCGTCTCAGAATTTTGTAGGCTAGGATTTTTACAACATATTGAGTTATGGATGTAGATAAATAGATAAAATGAAAATAAAAATTACAGGAAAATGTTGATATCAGAATAGCTAGAATTTTCAACACTTTTGGTCCCAGGATGCATATGAATGATGGTCGTGTTGTCAGTAATTTTATATTGCAAGCACTTCAGCGAGAACCCATTACTGTTATTTTTATTATCTTTATTCATTTATATCTATTTTAAAAATATTTCCTGAATTTTTTTTAATCAGTTGACAAAAGTTACTGCATAAGATGGGATTTTTCGATTTTATAGTGAACCTTATATCATATTATTTTGGCTAGCAGATAGATGGCTTAGTTTTACATTTAGATAACTATTATTACTATTTCTTATTATTACTTTTTTTGACTTTTTTGATCTCTGGTAAATTTTTAGATATATGGCGATGGAAATCAGACGAGATCTTTCCAATATATAGATGACCTAGTTGATGGATTAATTGCATTAATGGGTAGTAATACTACACTTCCAGTCAATTTGGGTAACCCAGAAGAATTCAGAATATTTGATCTTGCCAATATCATTCGCAGTATTGTTGGTGTGCTTATTCATAAACTGTGACATTGGTTAATTTTGGCCGTAGACTGGTCCATCTCTTGTCTCCCTAATTTAAACATAAGTATTATTTTTCATCAAATAAGTTCAGGAAGCAATTCGGAAATTCAATTTTTATCTAATGTAGAGGATGATCCGAAGCAAAGAAAGCCAAATATCACTCGTGCAGGCGAAATGTTGAACTGGAAACCTAGAGTAGTTATTTTTTATTGTTCAAACTGAAAAGGAAATTTTATTAAACTTCTACATTTTTTAAAAAATGGTTTGGTTGGCTTTCTTTTTCGTTAATTACATTATCAACCATTATTTTGATTTGATATTGATATTCTAGCAAAAGAAATTGATCTCTTTCCTCGCTTTTCTTTATAAGTTTTTTTTTTTTTTTAGATGTCCGTTCATGATGGCTTAGTCAAAACAATCGCGTATTTTAAAAGTGAACTGGAAAATGAGAAAACGAGAATGGAGCACGAAAGTCAAACTGAAAAGGAAATTTAAATTTAAATAAATTTCTACCATTTTTTAAAAATGGTTTGGTTAGCTTTCTTTTTATTCTTATCTTATTTTAATTTTCTTTGGAGAAATTTGTAAGAAGCAGTTTTCTATAATTTCATTATTTTTATGAAATTTGAAATTATATTCCTTACTTTATTAAATTATTTATTAATAAGCATTGTTTTATATTATTCGCTTTTTTTCTCCATCTATTTTGTTTTTTGCCGAATTTGGAATTTTGAATTTGAATTTGAAGTGATACTTTTAACATAAGTTTATTACATTTAAAAAAAAATTTAGGTCGCAAAAGTCGATTCGGATGAAAAAATAATTTATTGGATTCGCTTAAATGTCTTTAATTAATTTATACATTGTGTAAATGTATTTCTGATTTATTAGTTATTATTATTAGTTATTACTATTATTACATGATGCTGGTTTCATTAATAGATTCGCATCAATCTATTTACCGGCTTCATGTTTGAATTCTAAGTTGTGAAAAGTGCTCAATTGGAAAAATTGCATACTTTCTCATATCTCTCAATTGTGTATTTACCTCTATATTCCTTCGAAATATCCTGTAATTATCATACTACTATTAATAATTCTTTCAAAGCTCTAAGTCTGGTGAGCGTAAAACAGCGTAAGGAATAAGTGTTAAATTTGACCATAAATTATTGCACGGTACAGATTTTGAATTAATGTACAAATTATTGTCCATATTTTTTTTCAAACTGTAGATCCACTTGTTTTGCATTGTTCTGTACTTTTTTAATAGTTCGCACCATTACTGGTTATGCTAGTTTCGCTATGCATTTTTTAAGTTTCTCGAACTAGTGCTATATCTGAAAATCTGAAAGTCAAACCATCGTTTAAGACCATACATCACTGGTGGGTTACCCATGCTTTCAGAATTTTTCCTAATCATATCGGCCCAGGTTATGATTGGTACTTCTCGCTCTAACTTTCCAAACATCGCAATATTTCTAATTTTGTTCACTCCATTAACTACGAAAATTGAGATCATTACCTTAGACATTCACACAGATATAAAGATGATAATGAATGAGTCCTAACCGACTTTTTTTAATATATAAAGATTTTAGTTTTATTTATTTTAATTTAATTTATATTAGGCAATCGTAACAATGTAAAATCGTCTTTCGCTTAGGCCATCAGATATGCCATTTTATTAATAAACTGCTCTCTTATGCCTTTTATGAAGTTTTATTTTGTAAACTTTATGATATTTTGCATTTATTTTTTGTATTTTAATCATTTTTTGAATTAAATTATCGAATTTCTTTTTGAATCATAATAATTATTATTCGAATTGTTAGTAACAAATTTTGGTAATTATTTTTATTTTTATATATTTGTATATTATTTTTGGTAATTTTGGATTATTTTCTACATAATATTGATTAAATAATATTTATTTTAGTGAGCAATTTAGATTACGATTTTTATTATTAATATTATTGCTTTTTATTTAATTGTGATTTCTCGTTTTCTGCATGGCTTCTTCGAAAGATTCGAATTGGAATAGTTTTGATGACGATTCAGCGTTATTATTTAATCTCGATGATGGTGTCGAAAATAGTACGTTTAAGCAATTTTTTTATCGCATTGTAGATCGCCAAATAGGGCGGATAGAGTATTTCTAATTCGATGAGGAGAATTTTGCCTTTATTTTCGTTAAAATTTGATTATAATAAAAATTCATGTTTTTTTTTTAAAGATGATCTTAATATTTTATATCATATGAATTTCTTTTTTTAATTAAATATGCCATTAGCGCTCACCATTTCTGGCTTCGCTCAGTTGGTACTTAGGAATTCTTACCAGTGAGCCATTTGATGATAGAGGTCAAGTAGGTCGTGAGCACCTCATTTTCTTAATTAATGAACATAACCAACAAATTGCAATATGAATTGATTTCGGTCGTAACTATATGTAATCGTATATATATTATATATATATATATATGTAATCATAGCAAATAATGGAGAGCACAGACGTATCATATTTTTACTATATTTTCTGTATTTTAAAAAATCTATAGCTTTCATTAAATACAGCTTTAATTTTTCGAAAATTTTCTGTTTCAATTTCTTATATTTTCTTTTTTTTGTGTTAAAATTTAATTTGCTATTTTTTATAGATAAAATTGCGCGCACACAATGCGCCAAATCTGAAGATTTACAAAGTACGGTCGGGTGGAACAATTTTCAGGTGATTCACATATTTAAATTATCAGAATGAAATCGGGAAATCAAACGGTTATTCAATTATATTTATGTAGCAAATTTTAGGTGAATAATGCAGAAAATGGCGAATATCTTGAAGGTCAAAATCAAATGCTTATGTTCAAGATCAAAAATCTTGAAAAGTAAGTTTTTTCCGTAAACACTCTTTTCTTTTGTTTTATTTTCTTCAGGGTATTTCATTTTATTCGCAGTTTTAAGGACTTTAATTTAATTGAAATTAAATTTAAAATTGAATGTAATAGCATTATAGATTATATTAGTGATTACATGCTGGAAGATTGCACATGAAAGTATCAAAATAATCGTCATTTGAAAAAAATACTCTATGGAGAAGTGGCACAGTTCTTAAAATTATTCACATTATTCATAACATTTTTTCACATAACATTTTTTTTTAGTTGAATCTCCTTGTTAGCCGTAATATTGTTAAATTTTTCCAAGGCAGATTAGACACGACTAAAGACGAGAAATTTTTGCAACTCTGACTATTGAATTGAGAATGATTTATTTGAGGGTTTATGGAAATTGATTCCAGTTGTTGAAGTCGAAAGGATTTGACAGTAGGCAACAATTAACTGTGAAAAAATTGTAGAGTTTTTAGGAAGTCATGAGGCTTTCTGGAGAAGTTGACGGTTCACTGAGATTTTACGAGTTGTGAGAAGGAGCGGATTTTAATGAAAATTTTTGAAGCTGTGAAGTTTTAAGTGTTCTTTTGTAGTTTATAATTTTGAGTATTTGCATTATGACTTTGAGTCAATAGCGAAAATATGTGTCGAAAAATTTGTAAAAATTTATTAATAATAGTTATAGAGAAAATGCGCGGTTGCTTTCTCAGAATATTTCGACTCAAGAAAGATATGAAAAAATCTTAAAAGAAGAGTCTATGCAGCATAAAAAACGTGAACAAAATTTATTAGATGCCTTGGCTTCACAGGTTCCTTTATATTATTTTAGTTTTAGCGAATGATTTTCATGAGATTTTAATTATTTCAATGCTATTAAACTATTTCTTTCATTGTTTTCGAAAAATGTTAAAAATTTGAACGCAATATCAAAAATCAATAATTTTTAAATAAATTTTCCATCAATTTGATTGGCAAAGGTCATTTTTGATTTAAAAATATTTCAAGACTCAGGACGATAAAACAAAGAACTTCCGTCAAAGGTTGATTATTAATTCTACTGGTGGAAAAGACAGCGAATACGAAACGCAAAGTTCGAATATTCAGGTTTTTTTTTCTTTTCTTTAGAAATTAGTTTTAATTTTGTGGCTGTTATATAGAATAAAATAGATCAGAAAATCTGATAAAGAAAAATTCAAAAAAAGTTTAGAGTTATTATTGCTAAATAAATATAATAATAATAGGTTTATGCCAGTTAATGCGTATCAAATAGTTGTGAGCTCAATATAAATAGTACAATCACTGGAAGCCTCCACGAGAATACCATCGCAATGAGTATTTTTGGAAGAAGAGTAGTAATAAACGTTCTTTTATTTTTAATATTTTAAATTATGATTGTTGAATGAGGTTAATTTTCAGAAATCGTTTCCAAGTTCTAAGCCTGATTGTTTGCAAATTAAAAAAGCAGAGATCCCTTCTCGGCGCTTTGGAGTGCCTTTCCCAAAGAACTTAGATGAAATGCATAATTTACACAACATTTTCAAACATCCAAGAAGGATTTCTGATGATATACAGATGACTTTCCCTTCATATCCAAGCCAAGCAAATTGTAATTGGTTTTTTTTGCAGACGATATTCACTCTTTATATTTTTTTATTGACTGCGACAAATAAATGGTTCAATTTTAATTCTAAAATGAAGCAATTAATTTTAGGTATTACGAAACAGGCTGATAACAAAGTTTTCAATTCATCATTAACCCAAGTTTATAAAAACAATAGCAATCGAAACAACACAAAAAACATTATTGTCAGAGATGTCGTTAGCCAGACGGAAAACTCTGAATACGATTTCTCCTCTATTTGCTCTGAAAATGTTCCATATTTTATATTTCTATTCTTAGAAGAAGTTCAAAAAATGAAAACTTTAAAATTAGTGCATTTCACTGAGATGAATTTTTTAAACTTACATTTAAACTTACATTAAACTTACATTTATATTTTGTATTATATATATATATATTTATATTTTATATTATTTTATATTATTTATGTTTATATTTATATTATTTATATTTAAAGAAAAATTGAATATTTATTTATTATTTTATCTTAAAATGATGATTTTGTAAAATATAAAATATAAAAATATTTGATTATTTTTAGTCGATTTTTGGAGCTATGTGGACGATATATTGCAATTATGAACATCCTGATTTTTGGGGGAATGATCCATTTTTTGCACTGAAAAAAGTAACAGGACTCAATAATTGCGAAAAAGTTGTTCATTTAATTAGTGAGGAAGATTTAATCGCTTAATTTATTCAAAGAAATCAATTTGTTTCTTTTATTTGAATTTTTAAACTATATGAAACAAAAAAATTGCATATGTTTTTTGAAATTTATTTATTAATTTTCATATATTTCAGCAAATGAAAAAATATATATATGAAAAATAAAACGAAAAAAAATATGCAGTTTTTTCTTTTTTATTCTTATTTTGATCTCTTTTTTGTTTTTATGTTTTTTGTTTGAATTCTTACAGGTTGTTGCTTATATTTTAATTCGAATTTTGCATTTATTTCATTTCATTGTTATTTATTGTTTTTTTCTCGTCATAGATGATGCAGCTTTTCATTCAGTCTAAACTTAAGTGGCTTTACTTGTATAAACTGTGATATTTTTTTAGACGTGTTTTTAGAGGTGTTTTTAGAGGTTTTTGTTAAATTTTAATTTGAATGTTTAAGTGTCTTCATAAATTTCTTAGTCTTCTACAGTTTTTTTGATATTGCAACTGTTTCAATTTGTGGTTAGACTTTCAATTTCAATATTTGTGGTTAGACTTATTTCTCTATTGGTCATTAGTACGATAAACGAAATGAAATTCAGAATCTTTATTTAGAAGTAAAGATATAAGCGAGTCCTCTATTAGTCTGCTATTTAGCTTCTTTCCTAAAAATGAAACATCCTAAAAATCCTAAAAATGAAACATGAAATCTAATGATCAAGTAAAGAATATGAGAAAACGACTCCCTGTCCTGTCTTGTCTTGTTTTTTAATAAAAGTCCAATTTCTTAACGGTAGTGGACCAATCATTAATGGCGATATCAGAATCGTTTAGAAGAACCACTTGCGTTTTTGTTCTATATTGATTCGGGGATGAAAAGTTTCCATAAAAATAATTGAAAAATGAAATGCATTAATTTAATCGCCATTGAGGACATCAACGGTGTGCAATACTCACCATTAAAATATTTCCCGGAAAATCACAAATAAATTGCGATAAATTCCATGAGTCACAGAAGATTTTTTGAGTGTTTCCATTCGTAAATTCTGCAAAATAAAATGATTTGTTACCAAGCAAGTAAAATATATGATTCGAATATATGCTGCCTTGCACCAATTACGAGTCATTGTGGATCCCACAGAGTCCGTACAAACCAGTTTAATAACCATTAAACGAAATCTCGTATCACTCTGATTATTTTATTTTTATGTGGAATTTATTTGGAATTTTATATATTTGCTTCTTTTCACCGAATTTTATTTTTAACTATCTAATTCATTTTGTTAAATTTAGTGAAGTTTGATTTTTTTATTTTTTTCTCTTTTTTCATTTTTTTTTCAGAAATTTTTTAAAAAAAAGTTTTGAATAATAACAATATTAATGAATTATGATTATAGCGAAAAAAAGGAGTGGTAAATTTTCATATTTTTTCGAGAAATAAAAAATATATTTGCTTACTGGCAGATGGTGGTTAATCGCAAAGAATAATTACGATAAATAGGAATAATGCATTACGATAAATAGGAAGAAATAATGACAGATTAACAAGATTAAACAATAAAAATTGTGTCTTTTTTGGGATCTAATTTTGGGTTTTCTTTATGCATTTAATTCCAGTATTCCATTATATCCCAGTGAAATTCATTTAGTATTTCGCCGAGCGGATAAAATCTCACATGATTGTTTTCACCTTCGTTCAAATACCACTTGCATTAACAGTACCATCACAAAGCATCGCCTTCGCTGGTTAAGCACGTTCTTCATCGTCCACCACAAGATCTTTCGTGACGGATATTTCGTTATTTGCTAAATCCTTGATTGGCTGCATCAGCGAGGTGGACCAATCAAGACCTGGAGTAAAGATTTTCAACGATGGAAAATGGAATGGCTTCTATTATTTTCGATGGCATCAGATTGCATAGCTGGGAAATATCCTTGTAGCCAGTGGAGTGAACCGGATGGTGAGAGCTGTTAAAAAAGAAGAAGAAGAAGAATGGCTCATACATTGTCTCAGGATACGAAGGACTATAACGAAAAGCGAATCACCGTTTCTTTCCCCCCAACCGATTCTCTACTGAACAAGAAGCATTCTTATCCTCGTATTTAGTCAAATCAAAAAACTTATTAAAAAAAACAATGATTATGGAATATTTTATTGTATAAATGAGTAAATATATCAATGAACAGATGAATAAATTTGAAAATGAAAAAAATCCATAGTTTTTTTTTTCTCTACAAATTCACTTTTCCTTTATATCACAGTCATTTTCGTTCTTCACCTTTGCATAAAATGTCGCTCTGCAAGCAATCAGTGTTATCAGTTATCAGTGTCATGGTGAAAATGTGGACTGCTTGGGTTGTCATCGCACTTCTCACCTTTTTTTTTCTATCATCTATTAATGCGGGACATAGCGATATCGCTGATTGCGTTATGTTGGTCGGAAATAATATTAAAAAACCTTCCATTTCACCGAATGCTTGCCTCGATGTTGATGGAGCTTTTTGTTTCGCAGTATTCCCATTGACGGACGTAATTGCAAATAACTTAATGCCGTTAGAATTTTAACGAAATCATTAAAAAAACTTAGCGACAACAACAATACTAAAACTAATTTATTACTTTTTGAGCCTATTTTTTTGTTTTTAATATAATTTTTTCTAAGAGCGGAGACCATTTCTGATTAGGCTTATTAAACTATACAGATTTTCTCAGAGAATTATTGGACGAGCAAAAAAAAAAAAGCAAATGGCTATCTTTTTAAAGAGATTATTTCTGCCTGGATTAGAATCACTGGGAATATGAGCGATCCCGAAATGTGATTGCAAAAAACTCACTTAATTTCTTCTTACTGCAATTTATGGCAATGGTGCTACTCGTGTTTAGAGTTAATTAATTCAGTGGTTAATAAATAATGCAGAATTAAAATGGCTTAGAACATCATCCAGTTCAAGATATTGTAAGAAAATATATGAGAAATTCGATTATATTAACTTAACTTTACAACTATAACTATCAAAACCAGCCATGTGCAATCTTTTTCTTACGTTAATTCTCTTTTCAATCAATTTTTTTGGGATTTTTATACGTAAAACAGTGGAGAATTACGAGAATGCATCAGATATTTTCGAGAAATAGAATGAAAAATAGTTTTGAGGAACCAAGCAAATGCCAAAACGTTGTAACTAGAAAATTATTGATAAATTATCAAAAATAAATCATCAATTAATGATTACCAATCAATAATTAATAATTAATAACAATTAATAAAATAAATTAAAATTCAATCAATCATCAAACAATTATCAAATAAATTATAATTTGAATAAAAAAATATGTATTACATAAAAATTGGATAATAACTGAAAAATTCTTGATTTAAAAATTTATCAAAAATAAATTTAAATAATATTCTACAAATTATGGTACAAATTAA